GGGAGGTTATAGAGATAGGGAGGGGTGTAGGGGCTGAGGGAGGTTATTAGAGATAGGGAGGGGTGTAGCAGCAGGAGGAGGTGACAGAGAAAGGGAGGGGTGCTTTCTTCATAGGGACAGGCAGTACCATCCTGGTCATGTCTCTGGATTAGTAATCCAGACATCAGACTAATAGTTTGACAATGTGGATTCAAATCCCACCATGGTGAATGGTGAAATTTAAATTGAATAAAAATTTAAGCTTATGGCAATGATATAACCATTATTGGTTGTCATAAACACCCATGTAGTTCACCAGTGTCCTTTTGGGAAGGAAATCCCCGGTGTTTACCTGGTCTGGCCTACATGTGACTCCAGAGTCTTAACTGCGCTTGGGGCAATTCGAGATGGCAATAAATTCCAATGATGCTGGCATCCCATGAATGAATGATTAAAATATAACAGGGGTGTAGAGTACAAGAGCAAGGAGGTTGTGTTGAACCTGTATAAGACCCTTGTTTGGTCTCAACTAGAATATTGTGTTCAGTTGTGGGCACCACACTTTAGGAAGGACATAAAGGGCAAAGTGGAGTAATAATTGATGAGAATGGTTCCAGGAATGAGCAATATCAGCGATGAGGATAGATTGAAGAAGCTGGGACCATTTACCTTGGAGAAGAGAAGGCTAAAAGGAGATACGATATAGGTGTTAAAATTAACAAGCTGTCTGGGCAAAGTGGATAGGAGAAACTTCTCTACTTGTGAAAGAATCGAGAATGGGAGGGCACCAATTTAAAGAAATTAGTGAAAGAAGCAAAGGCAGCAAGAGAGAAAGCTTTCTTACTGTGCAAGTGGCTAGGGCCTAGAATTTGAGATAACAAGGTGTAGAGCTGGATGAACACAGCAGGCCAAGCAGCATCATAGGAGCAGGAAGGCTGACGTTTCAGGCCTAGACCCTTCATCAGAAATTGCTGACTGAGAGAATAGTAAAGACAGGCAAAATCATGGAGTTGAAAACGTAGTTAGACTGTTATTTGCAATGGAACGTGTGCAGGTTATAGCAAGAGGACAGGGAAATGGCATTAAGTGAACTGCTCATTTGAAAGCCAGACTAAGTGGTCCCCTTTTACAATGTCACTATTCTGTGATTCTGTGCAAAAGATGACACTTTTGGTATGTCCTTTTTTTCAGTAGTAACAACTGCACTTGGGAAAACCAAGTGTTGGGCCTGAAATGCGGTCTATATAGGGATTTATTCTTAGTGCCCATGCACTGTGTAACAAAGTCTCAAGGCACACACATGGCTTTGGGACCTCCCCACGGTGTGTTCTTTGTAAATTGTCAGTAAACACTTTCGTGTGTGATGACTTTTCGTAGAAACATAGGGGCAATAGTAGGCCATTCAGCCCCTCGAGCCTGCTCCACCATTCTCGATCATGACTGATCATCCAGCTTGCTGCCTTACTCCCACTATTCCCAGATTGCTTTATATCATTAAGAACCAGGAAGTTATAAATTTGTGTTCTGAACATAAACTCAATGACTGAGCTTCCACAGCCTCTGGGATTGAGAATTCCAAAGATTCACCAGCCTTTGAGTAAAGAAATTCCTCCTCAGCTTGGTTCTGAATGGCCTGTTCCTTATTCTGAAAGTTTCTCCATGTTCTAGACCGCACAGCCAAGGAAACATTCTTTCTTCATCTAATCTGTCTATTATTCTAAGAATTTTGTAAATTTTTTTGAGATTGCTTCTCATTCTTCTAAACTTAGAGAATGCAGGCCCAATCTCCTCAAAAACAGAAATTGCTGGAAAAGCTCAGCAGGTTTGGCAGCAACTGTGGGCAGAGATCAGAGTTAACATTTCGGGTCTAGTGACCCTTCCTCAGAACCCAATCTCTTCAATCTTTCCTCACAGGATGGATAAGTCAATCTTTCCTTAATAAAGAGACCAAGATAACAGACCCAAAACTCCAGGTGAGATCTCTTATGACCTTCCCTCCATCATAAGGTCAGAAGTGGGGATGTTTGCCGATGATTGCACAATGTTCAGCACCATTCACAATTTCTCAGATACTGAAGCAGTCCATGTTTAAATATAAGAAGATCTGGACAATATCCAGGCTTGGGCTGACAAGTGGTAAGTGACATTCGCGCCACACAAATGCCAGGCTATGACCATCATCAATAAGAGACAATCTAACCACCGCCCCTTGACATTCAATGGTGTTACCATCACAGAATCCCCCACTATCAACATCCTGGGGATTATCATTGACCAGAACCTCAGGTGGGTCACCACATAAACGCAGTGGCTACAATAGCTGGTCAGAGGCTAGGGATACTGTAGCAAGTAACTCACCTCCTGACTCCTGGAAACCTGTGCACCATCTACAAGGCACAAATCAGGAGTGTGATGGAATACTCCCCACTTGCCTGGATGAGTGCAGCTCCAACAATTCTCAAGAAGCTCGACACCATCCAGGACAAAGCAGCCACTTGATTGGCACCACATCCACAAGCTCCACTCCCTCCACCACCGACGCTCAGTCGCAGCAGTGTGTACTACCTACAAGATGCACTGCAGAAACTCACCAAAGATCCTTAGACAGCATCTTCCAAACACTCAACCATTTCCATCTAGAAGGACAAGGGCAGCAGATACGTGGGAACACCATCCCCTGCAAGTTCCCCTCCAAGCCACTCATTACCTTGACTTGGAAATATATCGTCATTCCTTCACTGTCACTGGGTCAGAATCCCAGAATTCCCTCCCTAAGGGCATTGTGGGGCAACCTACAGCACATGGACTGCAGCGGTTCAAGAAGGCAGCTCACCCCCACCTTCTCAAGGGCAACTAGGGATGGCCAAGAAATGCTGGCCAGCCAGCGACGCTCACATCCCACAAATGAATAAAAAAATCACCAAGGCTCTATGTAACAGTAGCAAGACATCTTTACTCCTGCACTTTGGATTCCCTTGTAATGAAGATCAACACACTGTTTCTCTTGCTTGCTGTTGCATCTCCACACTAGCTGTCAGTGAGTTCGGAGCAAGGATACCTGGTCACTTTGGACATCCCCAATTTTCCAATCTCTCACTGTTTAAGAAACACTGTACACCTTTACTCGTCTTACCAAAGTGGAAAATCTCACATTTATCCACAATATATTCCATGCCCTTAGCCACTCGCTCAGCCTGTGTATAAATCCTTTTGAAACTTCTTTACATTCTCCCCAAAACTCACATTCCTGCCAAGTTTATCCACGCACCTTATTCAAAAACAAAATTCAGGCAGAAAAGATAGAATAAGTTCCTCCAATCAGGAGCTAGACTGAGTGATTTCTGTTGGCTTGCTGTACTTTCTTAAATTTGTTAAGGATTTGTCACATTTATTGTCCATCCCTAATTGCCCTGCAGAAGGAGGTGGTGAGCTGCTTCCTTGAACGACTGCAGTCCTTGGGGTATAGAGAAAGCCACAGTGATATGAGAAAGGGAGTTCAGGGATTTTGAGCGAGCGAGGGGGAGGCAGTGGCTCAGTGATAATGTATCTGAGCTGGTAATCCAGTATCCAGGTTAATGTTTTAGGGACACAAATTTGAATCCTGTCATGACAGATGATGAAATTTGAGTTTGGAAAAAAGAAGCCTGGAATTAAAATGGTGACCGTGTAAATGTTGATTGTCATAAAAACCCATCTGGTTCGGTAATATCCTTTAAGGAAGGAAATCTGCTGTCCTTATCTGGTCCGGTCTACATGTGACTCTAGACCCATAGCAAAGGGGTTGATTCTTAACTGCCTGTGAAATGGTCAATTAAGCAGCAATTATGCATAACCCTAGTAAGACCCCACTTCGAGTCCTGTGTGCACATCTGGGCACCATACCTTAGGAAGAATGGTTTGATCCTGGAGGGAGTTCAGCATGGGTTTACAAGGATGATATCTGGACTTCAGGAGTTATGAGGAAAGATTAGACCAATTAGGCCTTTATCCTCAGAATTTTAAAAGAACAAAAGAGAAGTACAGCACAGGAACAGGCCCTTCAGCCCTCCAAGCCTGTGCTGATCATCATGCCCTGACTAAACTAAAACATAAACCTTCTGCCCTTATTTGATCTGTATCTCTCTAGTCCCTCCTTATTCATGTAACCATCCAGAAGCCTCTTAAATGTCACTAAAGTGCCTGCTTCTACCACCTCCTCTGGCAGTGCATTCCAGGCTCCTACCACTCTCTGTGTGAAAAACGTTCCACACACATCTCCCTTAAACGTTCCCCCTCTCATCTTGAACCTGTGTCCCCTTGTAATTGAAACTTCAATCCTGGGAAAAAACCCCTGACTATCCACCCTGTCTATGCCTCTCATAATTTTGTAAACCTCTACCAGGTCTCCTCTCAGCTGCCGTCTTTCCAATGAAAACAATCCTAGTCTTTTTAACCTTTCCTCATAGTCAATGGCCTGGAGACTGGGCAATATCCTGGCGAACCTTCTCTGCACTGTCTCCAAATCTTCCACATCCTTCTGGTAATGTGGCAACCAAAACTGTGCGCAACACTCCAAATGCGGCCTAACAAGGGTTTTATAAAGCCGCAACATGGTTTGGCAACTGTTGTACTCCATGCCCCGGCTGATGAAGGTGAGCATGCCATATGCCTTCTTAATCACTTTGGCCACCTGTGTTGCCACTTTTAGGGAACTGTGGACCTGCACGCCCAGATACATCTGTACGTTAATGTTCCAAAGGGTTCTGCCATTTACAGTATAATTCACACCTAAATTTGATTCTCCAAAATGTATCACCTCGCATTTGTCTGGATTAAACTCCATCTGCCGTTTCTGTGCCCAAGTTGCCAGTCTATCTATATCCTGTTGTATCCTTTCACAATCAGTGGCACTATCAGTAACTCCACCAACCTTTGTGTATTTGCAAACTTATTAATCAGACCACCCACATTATCCTCCAGATCATTTATATATATGACAAACAACAAAGGACCTAAGACTGACCCCTGTGGAACACCACTAGTTACCGGTCTCCATTCTGAAAAACATCCTTCCACCACTACCCTCTGTCTTCTATGACCAAGCCAGTTTTCTATCCATCTAGCCAGGCCACCCCGAATCCCATATGATTTTAGTTTTTGTACCAACCTGCCATGTGGGACTTTATCAAATGCTTACTAAAGTCCATATAAACTACATTCACAGATCTTCCCTCATCAATTATCTTTGTCGCCTCTTCAAAATATTTGATCAGATTGGTGAGACATGACGTTCCCCGTCTGAAACCATGCTGCCTGTCACTAACTAGTCCATTTTCTTCCAAATGTGCATATATCCTGTTCCTCAGTATCTTCTCTATAGCTTCTCCACCACAGATCTCAGACTCACTGACCTATAATTTCCTGGATTACCCCTGCTTCCTTTCTTAAACAAGGGAATATTGGCTAAACTCCAGTCCTCTGGAACCTCACCTGTGGTCAAACAAGATGTGAAGATATCTGCTAGTGCCCCAGCTATTTCTTCCCTTGCCTCTTGTAGTAACCTGGGATTGACCCCATCTGGACCTGGGGTCTTGTCTACCTTAATGCAATTTAGGATACCAAAAACTTCCTTCTTTAGTATATTGATATTCTCTAGAATATCCACACACTCATCCCTGACCTGAACATCAGTCATGTCCTGAGATAGTAGGAACTGCGGATGCTGGAGAATCCGGGACAACAAGGTGCAGGGCTGGATGAACATTTTCTGATGAAGGCTCTAGGCCCGAAACGTCAGCCTCTCTGCTCCTATGATGCTGCTTGGCCTGCTGTGTTCATCCAGCCCTGCACCTTGTTATCAGTCATGTCCTTCTCCTTGGTGAATAATGATACAAAGTACTTATTTAGGATCTCTCCCACTTCCTGTGGCTCCACACATAACTTCTCTCCTTTGTCCTTGAGGGGCCTTACTCTTTCCGTTGCTACCCTCTTTCTTCTAATATATGCATAAAAAGTCTTGGGATTCTCCTTGACCCTGTTTGCGAAAGACATTTCATGGCCCCTTTTAGTCTTCCTAATTCTGCGTTTAACTTCCTTCCTAATTTCTCTACACTCCTCAAGAGCTTTGTCAGTTTCCGGCTACCTAGACCTATCGTATGCTTCCTTTTCCCTTTTGACTAAGTTTACGATTTCCCTTGTCATTCATGGTTCCTAGATCCCGCCATTCCTATCCTTCAGTTTTGCAGGGACATGAATGTCCTGCACTTTAATCAACTGGTTTTTAAAAGCCTCCCACATGCCAGAGGTAGATTTGCCCTCAAATAACTGCTCACAATCCACATTCCCCAGTTCCTGTCTAATTTGGATGTAATTGACCCTTCCCCAATTAAAAACCCTCAGCCGAGGGCCACTCTTGTCCTTGTCCATGACTACTCAAAATCTTATGGAGTTATGGTCACTCAGCCCAAAATGCTCTCCTACTGAAACATCGATCACCTGTCCTGACTCATTCCCTAATTCCAAGTCTAGTATGGCCTCCTCTCTGGTTGGTTTGTCAACATACTGCCTCAAAAAGCCCTCTTGGACACAACTAACAAATCGCTCTCCATCTGAGCCCCTGGCTGTAAGGGAGTCCCAGTCAATAAGAGGAAAGTTGAAGTCACCCACCACAACTACCCATCCCAGCTTTTTTCACACCTTTCCAGTATCTGACTACATATCCACTCCTCTGTCTCCCGTGGGCTGTTGGGAGGTCTATAGAAAACTCCCAACATTGTGATTTCACCCTTCCTATTCCTGATCTCCACCCATAATGCCTCACTGCAAGATCCCTCCGATGTATCCTCCCTCAACACAGCTGCGATGTGATCCCTAGTCAGCAATGTAACTCCCCCACCCCTTTTGTTTCCATTTCCGTCTGTTTAGAAGGTTAAGAGGTGATCTAATTGAGGATTCCAGGATATTAACAGGGTAAATAAAGATAAAATATTTCCACTGGTTGAAGATTCTAAAACCAGGGGGTATATTCTAAGAATTAGGGCCAGGCCATTCAGGCGAGATGTTAGAAACGCCTCTGCATGCAGAGAGTGGTGGAGGTTTGGAACTCTCTTCCTCAATTCAATATTAAATTTAAAAATGAGGTAGACAAATCTTTATTAAGCAAGGATATCGAGGGATATGGGCCCAAGGCAGGCATATGGAGTTAGGCAACAGATCAGCCATGATCTTATTCGAGGAGCTGAATGGCCTATTCCTGATCCACTGTTCCTGTGAGCTTCTTGGTTGCATTTCAACTCCAGGAAGTCTAAATTGAAGCTATTGGTTTCAGTGTTTAATGCTTTAAAGAGAGGGTTTCATTTATTGAAACTCACAGACTCAGAAGTAACACAATACAGAATTTAAGGAGTTCATTCAGCTCTTCCTGCTTGTGCTGGTTCCTGTATCAAACTGCCTGCTGTTGAATAGTTTGGGTGTCTCATTGCTTTATTCTTGCCTTATTGAAGATTTATTGAAGATTACCAACCTACGTGTAAATTTCACCAAGTTACACACCCTGGGAGACAACCTGCTCGATTCACGGCATGAGATTGAGGAGAAATACTACTACGCTGTGTATGAATTGGTGGTGCGAGGAAATTGCTTCTGCTACGGTCATGCCAGTGAATGTGCCCCCATTGAAGGAATCCGAGGAGATATTGAAGGAATGGTACAGTAATCCCTTCACGAGTATAGATCTGAGATCCACAATAGATAGATTGAGCCAACAACACCAACTGGGGTCAGACGTGAGAATGAGCAACAGGATGATGTACTAGGGGGTCGGTAGGCACCCATAAGGGGTCAGATTGGAGCCAGGGAAGTTAACAGCAGTCACAGAGAAGCAGAGTCAAGCAGATTCCATCATACAGTGACATACTTTTTTTTTATTTAGTGCTTTAATTGGAGCAAAACATCACACAGCACTTTTTTAGGAGCAGTTATCAGTCTGAAATTCACAATGAGCCACTAGTGTATAGGCATCTAAAATACATTGAAAGAATGTCCAGAGGGGAAGAAAAGCGATTTTAAAAAAATCATACTTAGAAATGAATGTACTGGGTGTACTTTGGAAGTATTATATGATGGGTCAGACCAGAATGTCTCAATTGCAAGTTTCACTGGGTTGTCTTTCTAAGAGGTGCTTACATGTGATGTATGTTAGAATTACAGAAACATAAAACAGGAAGTACTCCTAATGTATCATCCAGTCCATGGCATACTGTGGGAGCTAACTTAGTCGTACACAAACAGTGGCATCTCAGTTACAGATTACTGAGCAAAGCTCCCTTTTATCTGTAAAGTGAAAGGTTTGAGAGCTGCAAAGTCAGTTTTGCAGGATGAGTTCAGTTCCTGTATGAATAATATGTGATAATGGTTCACATTTCACATCCAGATAATTTAAGGAATTCGCTGAACAGCTTGGGTCCAACATCATCATATCACCTCCACATCACCCTCAAGGGTATGGGTTTGCAGACAGACACAATGTCAAGAGACATAAGAAGACTCAATCCTCGCCTTGTTGTCACATCCGAACATCAAAGCAGTACCATAAACAATATTTTTCAGTGTAAAGAAAACAAATCATTCAGGAGTTTCAGAGATAGCAGGAACTGCAGATGCTGGAGAATCTGAGATATCAAGGTGTAGAACTGGATGAACACAGCAGGCCAAGCAGCATCAGAGGAGCAGGAAGGCTGACGTTTTGGGTCTAGGCCCGAAA